AGCACCACTGCTGGCCACCCTCCCCTCCCGCCAGCGCCTTCCCAGCCCCCTAGAACGTGACTCAGAATAAAATGAAGCAAATCTTGACACCCCATTCCCTAATTCTAAAGGTGAGGGGTAGGAATGAGGGACAAGGATCAGAGCTGGGGCTGCAGTGAGATGGAGAGATGGGAATTCCCCATTGGAGGTAGGATAATTATAAAAGACCTTCTTTCCTTCCTTTGCTGGCATTTGAATGGATCAAACTGTTAATAGGGTCCAGTAAAGAGATGGCTTTCAGCCCCCATTAACCATTGGAATTGCTTTCCCCACACATACACCCCACCTCCGTTGGAGAAAAACATTTTCCTCACCCTCTATATTTTAGGGAGGTTAGACTCTCCCATAATACATTAAAAGGAAACCAACCCCTCAGATGCTCCCCTCCAAGTCACCCTGTGCCCCTCAGATTTACAATCTTTCCAAACTTCCCAATGGGAGTCTCCATGGTGGCCCCACTAGATTGTGAGGGCCCAAATTTCTTTTGGGTAGGGACTCTCTCAACCTCTGAATAGAGAAGGCTGGGCTTCCCTCGCTTTAACACCTCAACTCCTTCAAGACAGACCCAGCCCCGATCCTTTCTCCCCAAACAGCCGCAAGGTTTCGTCAGCGCCGGGGTCTCCCAGCTCCTAGATTCTGGGGGAAGGGCGTTCCTAGGCTGGAACAGCCAACCCCAGGCCCAAGAAGAGGGCCCTTCCCACCTGAGCTCAGTGGGCGGTGCTGAAGTCGGACCCCAAAGTCCGGAAGATATAGGGTGAAGAGGGGCTACAGAAAAGCTTTAGATGGACTTAGTTGAACTTGAAGGGCTAGCAAGGCATGACCAGATAGTGACTGTAGTCTATGCTGCGCCCCTCTCCCGCCCGACCCTCACTACAGGGAAGGAGAGGAGTTGGGGTGGCGGTTATTCCCCCTCCCACTGAGGTTAGGATGGCGTGGGAAAGCGCTTATTCCAGAGGGGAGGAGGAGAAACCTAGACCGCGGGAGATTTTTCTGGCTAGGAAGGCGCGGGGGAGGGGAGATCCTGGGCCCAGAATAGGAGGGTCACCCGGGAGAGGACGGCCGAGAGCCGTGAGAAGCCTCTGGATTCCGGTCGCAGAGGACAGGGGAGAAATGGGAGAGTAGATAGTGCGGGGGAGAGAGGAAGGGCAGTTCCCGCAGTGAAAGGGTCAGATCCTGAATCCCGGGGAAGGGAGCCGGGAGACGGCCAGCCTCGGGACGCCGGAGCCGTGGTGGGTGCCGGGCCTCACCTGGAGCAGGGCCGGGCCGCGGGCGGCGGCAGCGGCGGCGGCGCAGGTGGCCGAGCCGGGCGGCGGCGCCTCCTCCCCCAGCCTTGGGCCGGCGGCGGTGAAGGGGGGAGGTGGCGCTTAAAGGGGCAGGAGCTACTGGGGTGAGAACAAGCGCTTGGGAAGGGCTGTCGCGAAGGCTCCGCTGGGGGATGGGGAAGCGGGTGGCGTCTCCTAGGGGCCAGAACCAGGAAGGATCCCAGATGGAGGAAGACAACAGATCCCAGGAAGAGACAGAAACTTCTGTGGCGAAGTGGGGGATGGTGGTGGGTCCGAACCGAAGTACTTGGGACAGCTCTACCTGTGCTCCCAAGCCACCAAAGTACCCCTTCACAAAGGAGGCTGAGAAGGCAGAATTCCAAGAAGACCAAGGGAAGAGGGAACAGGAACTCAAGGCCGAGCATACTGGGGATCATGCACATCTTCCTACTAGGTGAACAGGTTCCGGTGTTTCAGCTCCTCACGCGCCCATTCGCACCACCGTGGAGCCTCTGAAATCGGGAAGCCACAAGGGCAAAACTCCCAGTCCTCAACCTCTGCTCTACCTCTCGGTGTCCTCAGTGACTAGTGTGGAGGCCATCCATAACAGCCCTAGTGAGGCTGATGTGGGACTGTGAGAATGGGCTTTATTCATAGTTCAGTTTTGCCCCAACCACCAGCACTTACAGTAACCTCTGGGGCAACAGGAAGCAGCTGCTCAGTGCAGCCCCCACCTGGTAGTGGGTCAGGGTGGGGGAGGAGAGAAGACAGCGACTTAAAAGACCTGAGAGAAAGTAGGGGGAAGGAAGCACCTAAAAGACCCTCCCCAACAAGACCGAAAGCGGGCCTTTCTTTTGTGGGGGCTAGCAATAAAGTACAAAAAAAAATTTCTTGAATCACCCCAGCTTAAATAATGAGCAAGGGGCAACACTCCACGGGGTTGAGGAGAAAGCCCCCGCCTAAGATATAGGCTCAGGGGCTTCCTTAAAGCTAGAGCTTGCAATGCTAGGATCCCGTGGTGGGGAGCCTCACCAGCTGAGATCTCTGACCTCTGCATAGTCCCATTTCCTCTCCTTCACCCCCCAAATGTGCAAAGGTTAGGCCCCACCCCTGCTGAGTCAGGCAGGGAGGGAGCTAGGCATCCCTCAGGCCTTCCCCAGGGCTGGCCCTGTACTTACCCATGTCAGTCTGGCTGGGCTCCAGGCTGGGACCACCGGGCTCCTCACTGTCCTTGGGCCCCCCTTCACGCAAAAGCTGGTATTGGATCCTCCCAAACTGTGAGCTGGGAACTAGCAAGAATCAAAAAGCCAATGTATGCTTCCTCCGAACCACACAGGCTGAACTGCTGTAGGGTGATGTCCCTGTGTGACAGACTGGAGTGGAGAGGGAGGAGGGAGGGGCGGGGCTTTATCTGGGTGGAGAGAGGGAGGAGGCAAGGACAGGGCAGACCAGGAGAAATATGGAGGAAGGTTAGAATTGTGTTGACACTTCAGTAGCGTGGTAAGAAGGCGGTAGGGGGAAGGAAATAAGTAGTTGCAGCGCCTAAGAAGGAGAAGGTTCTAGATAAATGCTGAAGGACATAAAGCTGTCAGGGTAAGGGGTAGAAGGATGCAAATGACCTTTAGGATTTCTTCTGCATCTGGGTGTATAGGAAAACAGAACAGAAAGGATTGACCCATACCCTGGGGCATTCTCCATCAGGTTTTTATCCATTCCAGAGTTAGGACCTAGAGGAAGTGTCCCCACCCCCATAACTCATCATTTCCCCAAATCCAGGCTTTTCTGGGAGCAAACTACCAGGCACAAGCAGCTCAGGGGCTCCACCTTCTGTCCAGATCATGACACAAGAGAGATTGGTGCCAAGAACGTCATAGGCAGATGGGAGGAAGCTTAGAGGCCCTACTCCACCCCTGGCTCCTCTCCCAGGGCCCCTCCCCAACCTTCAGCCCCCAGGGGCCTCTGAATTGGGAGATCATTCCCCGCCCAGCTCCTACCAACATGAAGGCCTCGGTGGGTGGAGCTTGCAAAAGCAAGGCTCCACCTCAGGACAAAAGCCCCAGCTGGTTTGTAAACAGTCATTAGAAGAGAAACACCTCCCAGCAAATGGCCTTTATGAATTTCAAAATGGTGAGATCAGAGTTTTTGCAGTCTTCAGTGCTACCGCCAGAGGGCAGTAGGATGGGCAGGGGCCTAGAGAACACAAAATGTGACCTTGCACTTTGCACCTAAATGGGCTAAAATGATCTATTTAGTTCAAAAACCCAAGCAGCAGCGCTGAAAATTGTTATCTCCCGGTAACAGATTAATCTCTTTTCCAAGCTTTCATAAGGGTCTTACTAAGAGGTCACACTACACCTCAGTTTTTCCCCCTGCAGAGCCTCAGGCAATCACAAACTTCAGCAAGCTTGCTCAAAATGCCTCCAAGCAGTAGTTAGGAAGTTTCTGAAGAAGGCCTAGCCAAGATATAGAGGGCCATTTTAACTCAATTTTAATAAAAATAGGTATTCATCACCATTTCCTAAAAACTTAAATTCATTTAACTGCTGCCTTGTCTTAGAATATTCTAAAAGCATTTCATTTATCCCAGTGACATTCTAAAAAATATCCCTTTGCACCAAGTTGAATGGCTCATGCCAGTGATTTGGAAACCTGAGGCTCACTGCACATTCAAGGTCAACTTCAACAACTCACACCCTGCCTCAAAAAAAAAAAAACACTTTAATCCCAGCTACTTGAGAGGTCTGGAGGATTGCCAAATTCCAGGCCAGCCTGGGCAATTCAGCAAGACCATCTCAAAATTTAAAAACTTTAGCTCAGGTGTGGTAGTGTACACCTAAAATTCCAGCAATTTGAGGCTGAAGCAGGAGGATCCAAAGTCCAAAGCCAGCTTCAGAAAATTTTATGACCCTGAACAATTTACCAAGACCCTGTCTCAAAAAAGATCTGGGGATATGGATCAGTGGTAAAGACAATGGATTAAATCCCCAGTACCAGGTGATAATAAAAAAAAAAATTTAAAAAAAGGGCTTGGGATGTAACTTTGGTATATATAGCACCCCTATGTTAACACCCTAGTACCACCAAAAATGAATATGGGGGGGGTTATAATCCCTTTTGATTGAGACAGGGTCTTGTTAAGTTGCTCAGGGCCTCAATTAATTGCTGTGGCTGGTTTTGAACTTGCAATCCTCCTGCTTTAGTCTCTAGAGTGGCTGGGTATAGGAATGCACCAACAGACCCTGCAATCCCCTTGATTTTTAACCATAAGTAGAAATGTGCTATAAAGAATATATGACAAGGGGCTGGGGATGTGGCTCAAGCGGTAGTGCACTCGCCTGGCATGCGTGCGGCCTGGGTTCGATCCTCAGCACCACATACAAACAAAGATGTTGTGTCTGCCAAGAATTAAAAAATAAATATTGAAAAAAATTCTCTCTTAAAAAAAAAAAAAAAAAACAATTTGCTTTGGACAAATGCCATAACAATGCCAAAGTTGAGGCTCTACCCAAATTACATTATCCATAGGAACTCCTCATAAGATTCACAGCTCAGGGACTGGGGCTGTAGTTCAGTGGCAGAACGCTTGCTTAGCATGTGTGAGGCACTGGGTTTGATCCTCAGCACATTCAAAATAAATAAACATTCACAGTTTAAACTTCAGTTCAGGTTACATTATTAAAACCAAGAAAAACACTCAAATTCTGAGGGGTGTACATTTTATTGGAAACCTTAAATACTCTTCAAACAGAACATTAATGTATTCAATCAGGCTCTTGTGTGGCCTACACAAAAAACTGTGGTTTTTAGGATTAAAGGAAAGGAAAGGGAAAATACACTGGATGAGTGCTTAAGTTTGGCAAGAGGACCTCTCACGATGCATGCTCTTCAGCCAGTTTATCAGCTTTTGCCACAGCTTCTTCAATGGGTCCCACCATATAGAAGGCCTGTTCTGGGAGATGGTCATATTCACCTACATGGGGAAAAAAAAAGTCCAATAAGTAAGAAGTGGAGGGATATCAAGTATGGTACACACCTCACCACTTGAGGTCAGCAGTCAGACTTTCCAATTTGTGCCATCTAAGAAAACTTTTTTGAGGGCAGGGGGAAAAGAGTCAAATTCAAAAGACATGAATATCCACTTATAGTGGCACACCCCTATAATCCCAGCTATTCAGGAGACGGAGGCAGAAGGATCACAAATTCAAGGCCAGCATTGGCAACTTAGCAAGAACTGTCTCAAAAAAAATTACAACGGCTGGGACTCAATGGTAAAGCACCCGAGTTCATCTCTAGTACCCCCAAAACTTATGAGGGGGCTAGGATTGTGGCTCAGTGGTAGAAAGCTTGCCTAATGTGTAAGGTACTGGATTTGATCCTCAGCATCACATAAATAAATAAGGGTATTGTTACATCTGCAACTAAAAAATTTATCAAAAAACAAAACAAGGGGCTGGGGATGTGACTCAAGCGGTAGCGCGCTCTCCTGGCATGCGTGAGGCCCAGGTTCGATCCCCAGCACCACATACAAAGATGTCGTGTCTGCCGATAACTAAATAATAAATATTAAAAAATTCTCTCTCTCTTTAAAAAAAAAAAAAAAACATGAGCAAGGGCTAGAGCACTTGCCTAGCATATGTGAGGGACTGGGTTCTATCCTCAAACCACATATAAACAATAAAAGCCCATCAACAACTATTTATTTATTAACAAACAAAAACACATAAGCCAGTTGAGATGGCACAAGCCTGTAACACCAGTGGATTGGGAGGCTAAGACAGAAAGATCATAAGTTCAAAGCCAGCCATAGCAATTTAGTGAGACCCTGCCCTGCTCAGCACCACATAAAAAAGGGTATTGTTTCAGCCATTCCAAAAGGGGGCTGGGGATGTGGCTCAGTAGTAGAGTGCCCCTGGGTTCAATCCTTGTTACCCAACAAAACAAAATCAACACCACCACAAGAGGAGGACAGGGGATGTGGCTCATAGGCAGAGCACTTGCCTAACATGGACATTAGGACTTGAGTTTGAGCCCCAGTACTGTATAAGGAAAAAGAAAACATGGTTTGGAATCATATATCTCAAGTTCAAATTCTGGCTTTCCACTTTTCTGGCTGTATGATATTAGGATATGATTAATTTTAATTTTTCCTGTGTGCCAGTTTCCTCATTTGTAAAACAAAGTAGTAATGCTTTCCCTCTAAAATTGTAATTCACTTAGAAGAGTAGCTAGCACTGAAAAGGGGCTAGAGAGCCAAGTAATATGTCACACTCTCAGGAGGTTAACCAGGTATGAGGGTGCATGCCTGTAAGAGGTTGAGGTAGGGGGATCAGAATTTGTGGCCAGCTTGGGAAATTCAGTTAAGACCCTGTCTCAAAATAAAAATAGCTAGGGATGTACCAGTGGTAGAACACTTACCAAGGTTCTGGGTTCAATTCTTAGTACCTGTGCCCTACCCCCCCAAACATATTTTAAATAAAATTTGTGGGAAATAGCTTATTTTCTCAGTTAAAAAAAAAAAAAGTATACATTGTGGAAACAGCACACAGCTTTTAGGATTTTGGTTTTTCAACTTTGTACTCAAATTCTCACCTGCCAAAATCTGCTGGAATCCTTTGATGGTCTCCTTCAGGGGTACCAGCTTCCCCATATGACCCGTGAAGACCTCAGCAACTTGGAATGGCTGAGACAAGAAACGTTGTATCTTCCGTGCACGGGACACAGTCAACTTGTCTTCCTCGGAAAGCTCATCCATACCCAGGATGGCAATGATATCCTGGAGGGATTTGTAGTCCTAAGAGAAAAAAAGGCCTCAGCAAGTATTCATATTCCTTTAATCTAGACAAAAATCTAAGAACAGAAACAAACTAACAGAGGGGAAATTAATGCTCAGGGATAATGAGGGTTCTCAGCCTGAAGTTCAGTGTTTTATTCCCCTTATTTTATTGAGTACTATTTTTTTAAAACAAAGGATTTCAAAGCTTAAGCACCTAGAAACTCAAGAAATCTCATTAACCCTATCAACTTTCCTTACTCCAAAGGAAATCACACTAGGAAAGATCTAGTCTTAATATACTTTCAAATTCCTTCCATCACTTTAGGGTCACTGATGACAATATAATCACCTGCAGGATCTTTTGCACTCCACGGGCAACATCATAATGTTCACTGCCAACAATATTGGGATCCATGATGCGAGAGGTGGAGTCTAGAGGATCCACAGCTGGATAGATGCCCAGCTCAGCAATCGCACGGGACAGCACGGTGGTAGCATCCAAATGGGCAAAGGTAGTGGCAGGGGCAGGGTCAGTCAGGTCATCAGCAGGCACATAGATAGCCTAAATTGAGTCAAAAAACCCATATAGAGCAGCAAAAACAAAATTAATTCCATTTAAACCATTCCTTTTATGGACCTTTCTTTATCATCTCACTCCATCTTTATAGCATTAAATATCTACCTTAAGAGTTTCAATCCTAATACCTGCCAGGTGAGTTTATAGATTATCTGGTCCTTCTAAGTCAGGGTATAAGAATTTTCATTGTCATTTTTCATTTAATCCTACATTTTAATTCTATTGTAATAATACCAACTTTTACAAATTAAAAACAATAAAAATATACTTCTGTACCACTGCAATAGTGTTTAAAATGATTCATGATGTAGCCAAGTGTGGTGGCACATGACTATAATCCCAGCAACTAGGTGGGTGAGGGAAAAGACAGGATTATCAGTTCAAAGCTAGCGCCAACAATTTAACAAGGCACTAGGCAACTTAGTGAGACCCTGTCTCAGAAGGTGGCTCAGTGATTTAGTGACCTTGGGTTCAATCCCCAGTCCCAAGGTGGGAAAAAAATTATTCAAGAGGGTTGAGATAGCTCACTGTTAGAAGGTACTAATCCCCAGCACCAAAAGGAAAAAAAATATATATATATATATCATGGAATTTATTATAACTTAGCCCCATGTTTTATATAATTTTACCATACGTACCACCTATACATGTTTAAAATTTGTAGTTCATTAACTCAGTAAATATTCAGTAGTCAATTTCCATGTAGTTTAGAATTCCCTTAGGCTAGAAACCAATATTTTTGTAATCAATGTTTCATGTATACCCTCAATTACTTTAGATGTCTGTCTCCTAACCTTTCAGGATCTTTAAAATGCAAAAAAGAATTTTACACATTATCCTAGCTCATAAACCCAGACCCAACTTAAAAGCCCTTTTTGATGTAATGAAGTTTCATACCTCTCTCTACAAACCTTTACACAAATTAAACCTTCATCCACTTACTTTATCTTACCTGTACAGAGGTGATAGATCCCTTCTTGGTAGTGGTGATTCTTTCCTGCATAGTACCCATGTCAGTGGCCAGGGTGGGCTGATAGCCTACAGCAGAAGGGATTCTGCCCAATAAGGCAGATACCTAAGGAAAAAAAAAGTGTGGTCTCGGTTGTTTAAATCTTTAGGCTGTCTATACAATCCCACAAAAAAGCTCAATGAATCTCTCAAGGATGCTCTCTCACCTCTGAACCAGCTTGGGTGAAGCGAAAGATGTTATCAATAAACAGCAGTACATCTTGACCTTCCTGGTCTCTGAAGTATTCAGCTACAGTCAGTCCAGTCAGAGCTACCCGGGCACGAGCACCAGGTGGTTCATTCATTTGACCATACACCAGCGCTACCTGCAGTAATCATGCAGTCAGAAAATGTGAGTATGGAAGTCACATACCCAAGATTTCCCAATTAGAGAGGAAACCACCAAAGATTCTCCTTCTCAGGTGTCAAACACTTTTGTTTGCAAATTTCTTTTTCCTATTAGACATTCAGTTCAAAACAGAAAAATATTTTCTTGTATTAAAAAGGCAAAAATTCTCAAAATAGGAAGAAAATACTTTGGAGACAAATCTAGCTGGGTGCAGTGGTGGGTGCCAGAAATCCAAGTAACTTAGAAAGCTGAGGGAGAAGGATTGCAAGTTTGAGGCTAGACTCAGCAACTTAGTGATAGCCTATCTCAAATTAAAATATTTATTCATTCATTCACTTGGGTACCTGGGACTCAACCCAGATAAGTTGTTCAGGGACTCGCTAAGTTGCTGAGGTTGTCTTTGAACTCGCAATCCTCCTGCCTGAGCTTCCAGAACCACTGTTTCTTTTTTTAAATTTTAGTTGCAGATGGACACAATACCTTTATTAATTTTTATGTAGTGCTGAGGATAGAACCCAATGCTTCACATGTGCTAGGCAAAGACTTTACACTGAGGTACAACCCCAGCACCCTCAAAATTTTATTAGTTAGTTTATTTTGGTAGTGGGGATTGAGCCCAGGGGTGCTTTTACACCTAAATTACATCCCCAGCCCCTTTTAAAAATTTTTATTTTGAGACACTGTCTCACTAAGTTGCTCAGAGCTTTTCAAAATTGCTGAGGCTGGCCTTGGGTTTGTTATCCTTCTGCCTCTACCTCCCAAGTCACAAGGATACAGGTGTGAGCCACTGTACCTGGCTCAAAATAAAAGTTTTAAAAACAGCTGGGGAAGGGCTGGGATGGTGGCTCAGCGACAGAGTGCTCATCCAGTACATAGGAGGCCCTGTTTTGATCCTCAGCACCACACTGAAATAAATAAATAAATAAATAAATAGATTGATAAAGGTGTTTTTTCCAACTACTTCCAAAAAATTAAAAAAAAAAAAAAAAACTGCTGGGAATGTAGCTCAATGTTTGTAAAGCACACCTGGGTTCAGTCTCCAGTACCATCTAAAACAAGGGTTTAGCTACCTAGAGTTTTCTGACACAATTACTGTGTGAACTTCAGTCAAGTGCTCACCTTGGAGGTAGCATCTTTTAAATTGATAACACCAGATTCAATCATTTCATGGTATAAGTCATTGCCTTCACGGGTCCTCTCACCAACACCAGCAAATACAGAGTAACCACCATGGGCTTTGGCAACATTGTTAATCAACTCCATGATCAGCACTGTCTTGCCAACTCCAGCACCACCAAAGAGCCCTAGAAAAGGTGTAAAAAAAAAAAAAAAAAAATTAAGAGTTCTACATTCCCAAATTAAGCAAACCTCAAAAAAATTTGCTTCTTTCCATCCTTTCCCTTCTCAGGAATGGCATCTGGCTTCAGCAAACTCAGAAGAACGAAAGTCAGAAGCTACTCATCAGTGAGGGAAAGATATCAATACCATCTCAGTTTGGTACTGATAAAACCCCCCTATCCCATATAGGTTTGATAATATGTACCCACCACTAACATACCAATTTTGCCACCCTTGGCATAGGGAGCTAGCAGATCCACAACCTTGATACCAGTCACCAGAATTTCCTGCTCAACACTCATCTCAATGAACTCAGGAGCCTCAGCATGAATAGGAGCAAACCTGTTAAGAGAAAAGAGAACCATCTATATTCACTTTGTTAAGAACTGAAGTCTTAAATATTCCTATCAATTCTCAAGTCCAATCTTTCCCAGAGGATCTAGTCTACATTATAGCTAAGTTGTCATCTAGAATCTAGTTTCACTTTCTAAAATAAAGGAGACTTCATCTCAGGAACAAATAATCCCATTCCCTGACAACTTTAACTATCAAAGTTTCTCCTACCTAATAACATTCCTCCACATATCAATAAGAAAACAAAGCTATACAAGTTTTTAAAAATCCTCAACCTAAGCCATAAACATAAGCCTTTTTAATAAATATGAGATCCTAAGAATCAGTTCTCAACAATCAGAACTATGTATCCTTAATTTCTTCAGGAAAAACTACACCATGTTGTTTATTTTTTGGTACTGGAGACTGAACCCAGAGGAGCTTTATCACTGAGCCACATTCTCAGTCCTTTTTATTTTGAGACAGGGTCTCACTAAGTTGCTGAGGCTGACCTTGAACTTGATACCCTTCTTCCTCAGTCTTCTTCATTGCTGGGATTACAGGCCTGTACCATGGTACTGGGTAGCATCATGTGATTTTTAACCATTGAATGCATGAGCATTTTAAGTATTCTTTTGTAAGAAAATGTTGCTTTATTAGATGTCACCTTAATGTGTAAAACTCCAAGAAAAAGCAGTTCTTTTGTGAATAGATGCAGCAAGAGGAACTTACTGTTTGGTTTTGATAGGACCTCTCTCATCAATAGGCTCTCCAATGACATTCATGATTCTGCCCAAGGTCTCAGGACCAACAGGAATTTTAATTGGTGCACCAGAATCTAAGACTTTCTGACCTCTAACCAAACCTTCTGTCCCATCCATTGCAATGGTTCTTACTGTGCTCTCACCTGTCAGATAAAGGTATTGCAAGGTTATACAACGGGTAAGTACCATAATATTTAACAAAGTGTAGCTGGTACGAAAGACCTAAGAAAATCAAGGCTCCTTCTCAGTATCTGATTTGGCTTCAGCAAACTCAGAAGAACGAAAGTCATTTTGGTAAAATCATCACAGAAAGGAGACAGCCTGATTTCAACGGTATCTGGATTAAACAGTCTTCTCTGTTCTAAACATTCTACTTACCCAAATGCTGGGCCACTTCCAAAACCAGCCGGGTCTCCCTGCCTTGCACTTCCAGGGCATTTAGGATAGGTGGTAATCCCTCATCAAACTGGACATCCACTACTGCACCGATGACTGCCACGATACGCCCGGTGGCTGGGCCTGCCTTTGGCGACGGAGATGTTTGTGCTGCATAGTCTCTGGCTATTAGAAAAATATATATATTGTAAGGAGAGGGACTCAGTACATCGAAAGTATTAACAACTCACAAAGAGAGGCGAATTCAACCCAGGCTGGGCCTCCTTCCGCTTGCACGGAAGGCGTGTCCAGGGACTGGGCCGCGCGGCCATTGAGAACGCGCCTGCACAGCTTTCCATGCTCATGCACAAAACCATATTATTCCTGAGTGTAGAACCATCATGCCATGGAAAGGTCAACGCATCTGCTCGCATTTTTCCATCACACAGAGCCCGTTCTCCAAAACAGGACAGTATTTAAGTTGAAGAAAGCTCCCTGGATGATCTCCTGTTTTCCCACAGTTAGAGAGCAGGACTCAACCCTTCCCATCCTTTTATCACTACAGGATTCCTTAGGCCCAAGCTACGATCGGTCTCCGGCTCAAGGTCATAAGGAGGCAGAATTGAACACGGTTCCTAGGGGAAAGCACTTACCAGGCTGGACCGCTGCCGGGGCGGCTCGCAGTAAAAGCTGGGCTTGAGGTAGCGATGCCGAAGGGCTGAGTCCCCGCAAGGCCCCGGAGGCCGACGCAGCGGCCACACGACCTACAAGACTCAACATGGCGGAGTCCGCGTAGAGACTGAATGCGGCAGCTGTCCCGGCCGCCTGCAATCCTGCAGTTGAGGCGAGGCCTATTCTGCTGCAGACTCATCCATTGGGTAGATTTACTGCTCATCATTCTAAACTCTGTTTCTATAGGGTAAGAAGCTTTCACCTTCTAAACCATTGGTCAAAACTGGTACTAATCAGAAACTGCTTCTATTATTGGAATTGGAGCCCTCCGAGCCTTGAAATCTAATTGGACCACAGAAATGTCAGTTGGAGCGAGTACTTGGCGGAACTACGTTTAGGAAAGGGGCCGAGTTCCTGTTGGAAGTGGGCGAAGCACGTGAACTGTCTTTGCCTGTCCTTGGGATCTCTCCTTAGGTAGGACTTTGAGCTGATTGATAGCCAGAGGGGTGAGATTACCTAAATCGTGCGTCGGGAAGCTTCACTTACAGGTGAACCTGGCGACGTCGAGAGCTTTTTCTATAATCAAAACACGTTTTTTCTTTCACATACTGTGATTGGAAGCTCCCAGGAGGCTCAGCAGATCAATACCCTGGACAGGATCTTTATCACTAAAATCTATACAATAAAAGAAACTAAAGTAACGAGTCATTTAATAGATGTACATTAGGCTTGAGTAGAAAACATAATTAAGATTCAGGACCTTCTTTTTATGAGACAAATGAGCAAACAATACAAAGTGTTATGATTCTTGGTTATTACTGGTAAAGTGCATACACGGGAGAGAAAGGAGAAATTTGGGTTGCCTGAATCTGTAGGGAAATTCCCCTCAGCTATGAAATGTGAGTAAATTCTTAGGGTCAAGTAGAAAGCAAGGATTTGCACGCATTTGCATGAAACGGTATGATCCTTCTGTGGAACTGCAAGTGGTTTGTTTGAAAGGAAAAAGCCAAGATAGAGCAACTCAGGGTATATAATAGCTCAGTAGCACAATGTCTTCTGCACATGTGGGAAGCCCTGGGTTTAACTCCAACAAGGAGAAAAAGAAAAAAAAAAAGGAGGCTAGTAAAGAAATTAATTATAGAATGAGATAGGAGACAGGTCTTAAAGGGCTTTTGAATAGGAATGGGGCCTGGGCAAATATGTGTGTTCCTTCAGACTGGGAAATAACAAAATAAACAGTCTCTTTTCCTGAAGTATTGATTGTATTCAAAGATATTTTGGGGTAGAACTGGGGCCCCTCTCCCTCTTTTTATTATTGGTACCAGGAATTGAACCCAAGAGCAATTAACACTTAGCTACATCCCCAGGCCATTTTATTTTATTTATTTTTTTAATTTGGTAGTTGTATGTTGTGCTGAGGATCGAACCCAGTGCCTCACACATGCTAGGCAAGCGCTTTGCCACTGAGCTACAGCCCCAGCCCCCATTTTATTTTTTTGAGACACAGTCTGGCTAAGTTGCTTAAGCCTCTCTAAGATGCTGAAGCTAGTTTTGAACTTGTGATCTTCCTGCCTCAGCCTCAACCTCTGTTAGTTCTCATTTTTCTTCTTTTTTTTTCTTTTGTTACTTGTTACATATATTTAGATGTTGGTGAACCTTTATTTTATTCATTTATTTATATGAGGTGCTAAGAATTGAACCCAGTGCCTTTCACATGCTAGGCAAGTGCTCTACTATTGTGCCACAACTCCAATGCCAGTTCTCATATTTCTGATCACAAAAAAGTTCTACACTATTGGACTAGAGAAAACAAGGAGGGAAAAAAATGTTACTTTTGAAATGCTTCTGGAATATTCATCTGGTAATCTTGCCTAGTAATAAAAAAACCAAGAGATGCCAGGTGTGGTAATGCACAACTGTAATACCAGCAGCTGAAGCAGGAGGATTGCAAGTTCAAGCTAGTCTCAGCAATTTAGGGAGGCCCTAAGCAACTAAGCAAGAACCTGTCTCAAAAATAAAAATATTAAAAAAGGGTTGGTGAGGGCTGGGGATGTGGCTTAAGTGTTAGTGCACTTGCCTGGCATGCGGGAGGCAATGGGTTGGATCTTCAACAACATATAAAGATAAAATAAAGATATTGTGTCCACCTAAAACTTAAAAAAAAAAAAAGGGTTGGTGATGTGGCTGAGAGAAAAACCCCCCTGTTTTAAATCCCCAAAAAAAAAAAAAAAAAAAAAAAAGAAAAAGATAAAGAAAATGAAACAAACCATGACAACACAAATGTGCGAGGAGCAGGTAGAAAAAGACAAACCAGCAAAGTAAGGGGCAGAAGAATAAAATGTAGATCCAAAAACACAGGATTAAAAATCAAGAATAAGGGGTAGGGGTCTGGGGATATAGCTCAGTTGGTAGAGTGCTCGCTTAGCATGCACAAGGCCTGGGTTCAATCCACAACACCACCAAAAAAAAAAAAAGAATGAGGGTCAAGGTTGTAGTTCAGTGATAAAGCACTTGCCTGGCATGGGTAAGGCACTGGATTCTACCCTCAGCACCACAATATTAAAAAAAAAAAAAAAAATCAAGAATGAATCTGGGTGTGGTAGTGCACACCTATAATCCCAGCCACCTGGGAACCTGAGGCAGGAGGAACCACAAATTTGAGGCCAGCCTTACCAATTTAGCAAGATCCTGTCTCAAAATTATTTGTACTCTTGTCAGTTGAATCCTATCCAATCCTCATGTTGTTTGTAGCTGTACTGGGGATTGAACAAAGAAGAACTCTACCATTGAGCTACATGCCCAGTTAATTAATTTTGAGATAGGGCCACACTAAGTTGCCCAGGCTGACCTTCAACTTGTGATCCTCCTTGCCTTAGCTCCTGAGTCTGTAGGATTACACGCATGTGTCACTGTGCTCAGCCATTTATCTTATTCATTTGGTGAGCGGACTATGTGTGTTATAATCAAAATAAAGCTTTTGGGCACAGTGACACAGACCTGTAATCTCAGTGACATTGGAGGAGGATGCTGGAGGATGGCAAGTTTAAAGGCAGCCTCAGAGATTTAGGTCCTAAGGAACTTAATCAGACAGTCTCAAAAAGTAAAAAGGCCTGGTGTTGGAGGCCTATAATCCCACTAACTTCAGAGGCAGAGACAGGAGGATCGATCACAAGTTCAAAATCAGCCTCAGCAATTTAGTGGGGCCCTGGCACAAAAAAAAAAAAAAAAAAAGAAGAACTGGGGTTGTGGCTCAGTGGTAAAAGCACTCCTGGGTCCAATCCCCAGCACCCCCACCAAATAATAACAACATAAAAATAATTAACTAAATAAAAAGGGCTTCAGATGTTGCTCAGTGGTTAAGACCCCTGGGTTCAATCCCTCATATCAAAAAAGTAATAAAGGGAAAAATACTGTTTGGGATTATTGTGTTTTTATTTTAAACAAAACCAATTACTTTTAAAAAGGCACTGAAATCAAATTATTCCTTTGTCTTTCTGCCCAGAATGGTAATGTGTGATCCACTTATTTACTACCTATGGCCTCAACTATTTCTCATGTAAAAGATACTTCTGTATCAGAGCCAAGAAGTTTCTTACTTCTCTCTTTACAGCAAGCAGCAAGACACAATCTCACTTTTTTAAAAAAAAAAAATTGTACAACCAGTTTTGGTTTTGGCCAAATTAAGTTTTAATAACCATCAAATACATTTACACTGACATTTGAACTAATCCAGTTTTCCAAGAGATTTCACATAAATTTCTAGGTAACTGAACTCATAAATTTTGGAAATTTATCACACATTCTTTGTCCTCTTAGCAGATTATCAAGTAATTTAACTTTTTCTTGGGCAGTCAAGTTATTCATTAAACAAATTTTGTGTCACACTGCAAGGTCATATGCTTTCAATGTTTCTGAGGTGGGTGGAAGAGATATTTCTCCATAGAGACCATTATACTCAAACTTGAGAACTATTAACTCTTTTGCTGTAGTTTACTTTCAATGGCCCCTCTCCCTTTTTTGAAATCAGATAATCTATTAAATATATAGACTAAAATAAAGAATAAATTTGATATTGCCCGTAACAGATTTTCTGAACAAATTATATCATCTACGTTACAGTTTACCTGTTTTGGTCCAACTTTATACTTCCTGACTGAGACCCAGATTATCCAAGTGATATTTTATATAAAATACAAATTATTTTTCTTGGGAAAATAGGCATGAAATCTGGTGTTTTCTTTTCTTTCTTTTTTTTTTTTTTTTTCCAAGGGAGGGGTGCGCTTACCAGGGATTGAACTCCATCACTGAGCCACATCCCCAGCCCTATTTTTCTTTTATTAGAGACAGGGTATCACAGAGTTGCTTAACACCTTGATAAATTGTGGAGGCTGGCTTTGAACTCAAGATCCTCCTGCCTCTGCCTCCTGAGCCACTGGGAATACAGGCATTTGTTCTTATCAGATATTAATTACAGGGGCTAGGGATATGGCTCAATGGTAAAGCGCTTTCCTAGCATTTTCAAAGCCCTTGGTTCAATCTCCAGCATCACACACACGCAAGTTAATTACAAAATAATTGTGCCCTGTAGATAATAACTGGAAACCTTAAAAAATTTACATTATGGCTATATTTTCCACAAATTCCCTGTACTACTGATAATCCACAGTTGTCATATCCCCACATTATTTCAGTACTCTGGTAATACTTGACATTTTCTGATAATTGACCTCGTGAATTAAAATTCCATAAAAATGTAATAGTCCCCCGACATCCATAGAGAATATGTTCAAAGACCCGCCCCTGACCCCAGTAGATACCTAAGTCTTGGATACTACCAGATCTTATATAGACTGTTTTTCCTATACATACATTACCTATGATAAAGCTTAATTTATAAATCAGGCACTGAGATTACAAACTAATAAACTAGGACAATCATTATAATATACTATTATAAGTTACATGAATGTGGTCTCAAAATATCCTATTGTACTTGGGCTGGGGATATAGCTCAGTTGGCAGAGTGCTTGCCTTGCAAGCACAATGGCCCTGAGTTCAAAACTCAGAATCAAAAAAAAAAAAAAAAAACATTAAACAACAACAACAAAAATCCTACTGTACTCTACTTATCCTTCTTATGATGCAAGATGATATGGAGTGGTGTGAATGATGTGACATAGTGGTAGGCTTACAAATTACCTCA